AATCAGGACAGTACTTTACACACAGTACCTCTATAAGCCATCAGCAGTGTGCCTACAGGTTACATTAGGAGCTGTAGCTCAGTGGAAAGCGACAGCAGCGGGAACCGGAAGGTATGAATCCTTATCCTGCCTGGTTGCTCATGCTAGCTGCATCTGGGCTCAGAAGGCTTGGGCTGTGCTTCCCAGCTTATGTAGATCCTGGCTGTGGGATGGAAGCCACGTCCTTTGCCTTCTTGTGGTACGATTGCTGTGCATCTTGGCTCCCTTGATAGTCCTCTTTAGTTTGATAAATTTATAGGATTGTTTTCTTGAGAAAACATTGATCTACAGCTGAAACTTAGTTCCTTTTCACACAAAGTTGGAGAAGTTCACAGTGTGAGTGCCCATGCTTCCAAAAATGTGCATGAGCATCTAACTCCTGGCTTCCGGTGGTCTCAGTGCACCCTCACCCGGGTTCATCTCCTGTTAGCTGTGAGAACTCATGCAAATGTCCTAAAATCACTCCCCTCAGCTTCCTCCGCTGCAGGGTGAGCCTTGCTATAACAGTCCTTTAATAGAGTTAATGCTGAGAACTAAAGAATAGTGGATAAATGGAGAGCACGGAGAACAATGTAAGGTACACGATGAACATTACAAAATCATATTATTACCAGTATTTTTATTCTAATTTGATGTTTAATCACCAAGTTGTACCAACTCTACAAGCACTGCAATGGACAGTACTAGGGCCAGAACACTGTTTTAAGTATGTCCCATAGACTCAAAGGCTGGTGATTGCTTGGGGTTAAATTCACACAGATGAATAATTAATAGAAGATAAAACCTGAACTGAAGGAAGTCAAATTGGAGTCTGATGAAATCTTCTAAGTAGTCCTTGAGCAGGGAGAAACTCAGATGCGATGAGACAGAATGAGGGGAACCAACAGAAGACGCACCATGGGGCAGAATGGACAGAGTGGAGCTCAGCAGTGTGTAGGAGGAAAATGAGCGGAAGGAGATCAGGCGCCAGCTACTCCTCAGGTGCTGGCCCCGTGAGCACGGCCACTGGACCTTCTCTCCTCTCTCTCTCTCTCTCTCTCTCTCTCTCTCTCTCTCTCTCTCTCTCTGTCTGTCTGTCTTTATACTAGGGATCGAACTCAGAACCTTTCACTTGCCACATAGGCGCCGACACCATTGAGCTATCTCTGCAGCCCTGCACAATTCTTATGTGGCAGAGCTGGGATGAATTTGAGTGACTAACTGATTTAGATTTACAATGCTGCAGCCAAAACAGCCTTACAGAGATAGAACTAATTAAAGGAAAAATCAGACACCTTGCATTTCCTTATTCTTTGTCACACCAGAACCATAAATATAGCAAAGTAAATTGCTATATGAAATTATCTGATGAAATTATCCAATAAATGGATGGGCCACAGCAGTCTTTGCAGGAAATGCAAACAGCCTGTCCTCCATTTGTTTCATTACCAGGAGGGCTTTAATATTCTTTAGACAGGAGCACGTTTGCAAACAATCAGACCAGTACTGGCCAACTTCTGGCACACTTGTCATGGTGGTCACATAGAGTCTCCTCTGCTGGCACATGGGCCACGTCATCCCAGCACGGCTTCAGCAGCTGAGCCTCAGATAGCAGCACACACAGACGGTGGCAGCAGTGCCAAGCAATGACATTGCAGCCAGAACTCATTTGCATTCCATTGCACTGTGGCATTTTGTGACACAGCAGTAGGGTTTGTTTGTGGGTTGAGCCCTGGGTTTCACTGGAGTAGAGCTGTGTTTCTCCTGCTTTTATACTCGGAACAGTCAACATACGTTCTTCTTTCCTTCACCCTTCCCTTCCACCTTTGTTCTTCCCTCCTTTCTCCTTTCTTTTCACGTTCCCGGTGAGAACAGATGCGGCCCTGGCCCTGGCCTGCTGGTTCATTCACCACTAGAGCCTGACTCTGCCTTTCCCTCCACAGCTACACACTGCTGCTTGCTGACAGGCACAAGTTCTAGCACAGCTTCAACCTGAAGACTACAAGGGGTGTAATTTCAGAGCCCCAAAGAAACCGTTAGCTGGATGAACACTTCAAAGCGGCTGCTGTCAAGGCATTGGCACTGCCTTCCTAATCCATTACTCCTGCTCAGACAATGCAAGATGAATCCCTTTCATCAGCGCCTAAACTAACCATTCTGAAAGATATCCGATGCTCATTTCCACAAGGCACTGCAAAGCAATTATGTTCATTGGCATTTAGTTCCCAACTGAAAAGACAGCCTGATGGCTGGTATCTCCTTCCACTGAATCGCCATGGGCAGAAGCACACACTTGTAAGGGGAAGAGGTGGACAGAAATAAATGTCTACTCTTGAGAAGAACAGACACACCAGATGGGCTCATGCCACAGCCAAACACAGAACTTTCAAAAGCACACCCAGCATACAACTTGCTATAGTGACCATGCTCGCAAACTTATTTGTCTTATCTTTCTCAATCTTCCAGACAACCTTGTGAAGTAAGATCAATTAGCACCTCACTTTAGATTTTTAAAAAGTGAGGCAGGATTAGTCATAGCATTGATTTTTTTAATTAAATCAACAAACATATATTACTTATATTTCATGCACCATGAAATATGCATCACCTAACGCCTATGCAAGACAGAAAAGAAAAGATACATGATCCTAGTTAAGTAGGAAAGCCTAACAATGGAGGTGGAAAATTCCACTATGGAATACGAGGGGCCACGCAGAAGTCTGATCCAAGAACTTTTCCTTTTTTATGGTGCTGGTGTAAGATTCTATAAGTGGACATTTTTAACAGAAAAAGAAACCCAAGCTGCAATGAACCATATATTCCCATTGTTAAGCAGGAGCCGACAGCTGAGGCACCGTCTGTGGTTGCGCCGTAAATAAGTTTCCTGAGTCGTGCATGAAGGACAGGATTACAGAGTGGCGAGTGTGAGCTACGGTTGTGTAGTATTAGTGTTAGGTATGTGGCCTTGGGGGAAGGGGGACTTCAGCTCGTAAAACGCTCCTGCAGGTCTATGTCAGCCCAAGTTGAGGGCTACGTGAGTTGGTGAAAGCTCTCCTGGCTGATAGCTAACTGTTCAACAAAGGGACTAAAATGATGATTGCATAATAATTCTTTCCTGCTTCTCATTTTTTGAAAGACGTCTACACAGGGTGAATATGGTTACTTTCTTCTCAAACTGAACCCCTTCTAACTAGCTTTTGGATTTCCAAACCTTGGCCCTGACTTGAAGTATAATTAGAATAGCTGGAATCAACACTGATCTTTGGGCCTTCGCAGGACATGAAGCGGTCCTGCAAGAGACCTTGTCATGGGCTCTAGGCCTCCAGTTGGACTTGCAGGAGGCATTCTTACGGGCTGTAAGTCGTTAGCTGGACTCACTCAGGACACTACTGTGGGATCCAGACCCTCAGCAGGATTTTTTTCGTCTTTAACATATAGTTCTTTTGTTTGTTTGTTTGTTTGTTTGTTTTGTTTTTTCAGAACTGGGGATTGAACTCAGGCCCTTGTGCTTGCCAGGCAAGTGCTTATTCCACTGAGCCATCTCCCTGGTCCCTCTTTAACAAATAGACAGATTTATTCACTCTTTCTACATGATTCTTTGGGTGATTATAAAATGATCTTATAAAATGAAAATAAAGAATAGTTGCAATCAAGATAATCATAACAAGTTAAGACTTTGTGGAGACCACAGGAACATTTTGCGGTCCAAGAAAAATGTTTGTAACTTCTAATCCACGAACCACAGTGAGATCTCAAGGTCATAGATGAGACAGTAGGTTTCTGAAACAAAGAATTCACTCCTTCCTCAATCTTCTTTCTGCAGGCTGATCTTCCTGAGAAAACTACTGTAAGAATTTTTAGTTAGTTTTTAAACTTTTTGAGTAAAAAAAAAATTCCAAGTAATAAAATTTCCTTTGTTTCCCATTCACCCCACAAAGACCTTACAAGCAGTGTAAATTTAATATAGTAACATGATGGTAACTGTTCATATCAGATTAGAGCACTTTGTTTTTTACATGTGTTCCTTCTTTCAAATTGTGAACCACAAGCAGCTGCCAAGGGTGGGGTTTGAAATCCACAGTTTTATTTGTGCAGCAAGGAATTATGGCCCAGCTATGAAGCGATGTGATGCTTAGACATTGGAGCCCAACCCAGAGAATTTCAAGAATTGCAATGCGTGGAAATTTCCATGTGTAAAAAAGAGCCCCAGAAAAATTCCTAACAAACAACTCCTAGGCACACCAGGCATGGAGTACTGAGGGAGGAACAGAAGCCCTCTGTGGGAGCTCAGATTGGGGTTTCCTTATTTACAAGTCAAGTCGCGATGCATGTGCTGTAGGCCGGATGCATTGCACAAATTAAGACATTAAGAGCTTCTAGAGAAAAAAGAGCCTGCCCTGTGCATCACTCCGTGGAATTCTCACCACTCTGCTATCAGTGCATCAGGCTCTGGAGAAGCCCTGGTCCTCCCTCCACCAACAGCTCTGACTCTGTCAATGTGTCACGTCATAGAAAGGTGAGGATTATGGATTAAAGAAGAGGAGAGAGGTTGGGGAGATAGCTTGTCAGTCTAAGCACTTGCCTGGTAAGTGCAAGGTTCCAGATTCCATCCCTGGTACCACATGCCATGCTGGCCCCAGAATCCCAGGCATGCCGTACTGGGCCCAGAATCCCAGGCACACCATGCATGGCTGTGCACACCAGTAATCCCAGAGCTGGGGAGATTGACACAGGAGGATCATGACGAGTTCGACCTGCGTAGTGAGACCCTGCACCAAATAAATAAATAAATAAATAACTTTCAAAATTAAAAAGAAAACAAAGAAGAGAATGCCCTCAATTTACTTAGAATGCAACAGATTGGGCTAATTTAAGTAAGCAATATTTATGACATTTTAATTTAATGGGAAAAGATCAGTCTTGCGTCATCTGTACCAGAGCAGAGGGCTTTATTCTGGAGTCCACGTTAACCAAGTTGGTGGGCTTTTTGAGGATGGGCAGGGAATGAACAGGACACAAAGAACTTAGGGTATTAGTGGCTTCTGAGGTGCTGATCATTTAACTGGCATTTTGGATGTGATCCATAATATACTGAATTATTTCTACCGTGGTACCTTGGCCTCCAATGTCTGGCGTTTGAATATTTTTATTACCTAAGGATGCCAAGACTGCATTACGGATCATGGTGGCATAGGAGTGCAGTTTGAGGTAATCTAGCATAATGCAACTCGCTAGCAGCATGGCAATAGGATTGGCAATGTTCCTTTCCATAGGATTCCTGTTTAATTGCCTTGAGGCTGTCTCAAACACCGCATATAAGCAGCCATAGTTGGCTGCAGGTACGAGGCCCGAGCCCCCAACCAACCCTGTGCAGATACTGGTGACGATGTTGCCGTAAAGATTGGGCATCAACATGACATCAAACTGCTGCGGCCAGGACACCAGCTGCATCGTAGCATTGTCCACGATCATGCTCTCCAGGGTGATCTGAGGATAGCGGGATGCCACCTCGCGACAGCACTGGAGAAAGAGTCCATCGCCTAGTTTCATGATATTGGCCTTGTGCACAGCTGTCACTTTTTTACGTCCCATTTTCTGGGCCAACTGGAAAGCATATTCGGCAATGCGCAAAGACTTAGCCCTTGTAATGATCTTCAGGCTCTCTATCACTCCTTTCACGCTTTCGTGCTCTAGATTGCTGTACTCACCCTCCGTGTTCTCCCGAACAACCACGATGTCTATGTCCTGGTGGCGAGTGTCCACATTTGGCAGGTTCTTAAAGTGGGTAACACTGGCATAGAGATCCAGGGTGGTGCGCAACATGTTGTTATAGGATTTGTGAGAAGGTGGCTTGGTGTGGTCAGTTTTAATGCTGCCCTTTAGAGCCACAGAGTTCCGTTGGACCGCCATAATGGCATTGTGAATTTCCGCTTCAGTGGACGTGGTGGTCACCCGCACCTCCTCAAAGTCCACAGGCACACATGCGCACTGGAACACAGTCTTGACATGCACCATAAGCTCAGGCCCTATGTCATCTCCAGGAATCAAGGTCACTGTGTGCCGTCCACCATACTTGGCTGGTGGAGGAATTTTGTGATACAGATGGGTACCCCTCAATGAAGTGGCAGGACAGCCAAGGAAAGTTTCCCATGAATGGCCAAGAATGGGAGGGTGGAAAATGGCCTTCATAGATTTACTGGTTCTGGCCAGCATCTTCAATGCCATGATTACTGAGACTGATTCAAAATCTCAAGTGTAAAGATGTGCTCTTCTCCTTGAGCTGACGCGGTTTCCATGGAGGAGTTCTTGATCCATAATTCTTGTGTAGGTCACAATTCTCTCCATTCTTGCATTCTATGTTTAACAGACATTCTACTGCAGTGAGAAATGCAGTAAAGGGCAGGCATGATGTGCTATACAGTCAAAGCACAATCTTCTAGAGTTGGAAAACTCATTAGGTGCCTTAAATGTGCAAAGCTTTGGATTATAATAAGGTTGTTTATTTATTTATTTATTTTTGATACATTGAGAGTCCTTTTAGAAGCCATGGACATTGACAATATGCTCCAGCCCAATATAAGTGCAAATCTCCTCACAGTCAAAATCCTGCAGGACAGTGCACTTTGGCTATAAGTGAATCAACACTGGCACATTATTGCTCAGAGTCCACGGTTTACATTGGTTTTCACTGTTCATATTGTCCATCCATAAATTTAAACTAAGTGACTGTCTGGCAAGTGCAGGGTCCTGAGTTCAATCCCCGGTACCAATATATATATATATATATATATATATATATATATATGTTAAACATATATATTAAATAAATATATAAATATATATTTTAATATATATGTTAAACAAATGCAAGGCATGTATCCATCATCAGAGTATTACACAGTATTTTCTCTCAAGGGAGAAATGAAGAATTTCTCAGAAAAACAACTGACTGATACTTTAATGTTATGAGACTGTTCCTAGAATGAATGAATCAAAATTGCTGGAACTGGGATTTAACCATTTACTTTTTAATGATTTTGATGCACACTAAAATTTGAAAGCCACTAGGCTATGCAATACCCCATAAGGAATGACAAGGAGCTGCATAAGGGTGAAGATAGTGAGACAGGAAAAAAAGTAAACACTTCCAGGGATATTTAGTAGAGAAAAAGGACCAGGCTACTGACCTTGGGACACTAAACATTATTCACAATGCACTTCACAGACCAGATAATGGGGATGCAACTAACGACAGTGCACCACTGAAGTAAAGGGAAATGGGTGAGGAATGAGATTAAATTGCCACATCTTCAGAGACCCAGATGAAGTCCACATAATGGTGCCTGGTAAGATGGTGCACATGTGTGTGTGTGTGGGTATGCGTGTGTGTGATTTCACAGAAGGAATCATGGGAGATAATAGAGATTTAAGAGCCTACCGAATAAGGGACAAAGTAAAGCACATATACATGCAGAAAACAGCCCAGAGCAAAAATGTTTAACTTGTCTTTTTTGATGATAGATGATGACATTTATAGGAGACTCACTTCCAGGAACAAATTCAAATTGTAATGAAAACCAAACACCACACACACATACACACACACACACACACACACACACACACACACACACCATTCACAAAAGGAGGGGGCTAAGTAAGCAATAAGCTCCCACAATGCGTCATAGGTCATATCTACACAGGCTTTTTACTGATTAAATGTACTTAACTACCTATCAGTAGTGCCCCTACCTAGCATGCATGAGGTTCTTGCTTAATCCCCAGGAGCACAGAAATATAAAGGTAGAGCTATCACATGTACCACATATTTGCAGGATGTTAACATACACAGTATTGTTCCATATACCAGTTGGAAGATAACTTTGAATTTGACTTAAAAATTGTAAGTATAGCCTCACTTTTATTTCTATGATAGACATACATGCACACATGTGTTTTCTTCATCTCTGTCATGGAACACATATGCCTGGATAAGGTCAAGCAAACAAGTAAACTATACATTTAAAGTTCACAAGCTGCCATATTTCCAAATTACTGTAACTACTAACTATGTCAATAACCATAGATCATGAGAATTTTCAGAAAATATGCAATGGGCTATGAATTATGAGCATTTCTTCTCTAGATAACTCAAATGCTACATTGCAACACATAAAGCAGCACATTTACTTCAATGGACATGAGTATGACTTCCTCAGGATAGTATCTTTGAGTGAGTCTAATTAATTAAAAAACTTCGTTCACAAGTGCTTACAACAGCTCCTATGAACAAATAAGTCGCCCTCCCACTTGGTGACATGATCACTGATTGTGACACTGCAATGCCGAGCTACTTGGGGTGAACCTTGGTCCACACAGAAGAGGACTGAAGAGAAAGCATGGGAAACTGACAATGATAGAGCCAGGTCATTGGTATACGAAGGGTTAGAGGAAGACGGCATGGAAAGAAATGAGCTAGGGCTCAGGATAGGAGAGAGAAAGGGGCATCACAGGCTCTAAGAGAAGGAGAGATCCAACGCGTGAGTGGTCCATGCTGTCAAACCCTATTGAGGAGTGACTAAAATTAGAAATAATCAAAAGGGAGTTATTGTTAAACTCTACAAGTCCATCTCTATGAGTGGCCTAAAACTGCAGTTCCAGGGTACAGCAGCCACCATGTGAGACCCTGGTAACCTTTGCACACTTCCTGGCTCCTTCGTAACTTATGTTCCAGTGGGAGTAGACAGCAGAGAATAAAAATAGTAGGCACATAATAGGTAGAAGAAAACAGTAAGGAAACAGTGATGGAGATCTTTTAATATTAGAAAAAAGAATGCAGGGAGAGAAATACAAAAATCTTATGTTGCAGGAAAGGTTAGATGAATGAAATTTCCACAAAATGAGTATGATCAGTTGATGGTAAATCCTTTCTGCATGACCTGGTCGGGACTTGGAAGTAAAAGGATGGTAAACTGCATCCCTGGGTCAGGATGCTTACAAATGATACTTAGTCCAGGCTTAAACAAAGACTGGTAGCACTATGTGCAGAGGAGGGGAGAGACTCTAAAAGACTGTGGGTTGCAATAAGCATTCCTGTTGGATGAAAGGAAGGATTTCTCTAGCAAATACTAACAGAAAAATGGCAAAGTATTTCGGGGTCAGAGAATAGAGGGCCTTTAATAGTAAATGAGGGAATTTATATGATACCCTAAGGACAACAGAGAGACATTAAAGGGCTATGAAATAAAAATAAAGGACTCTGAAAGATATTATTTTTTAAAAAAGAAAACCTGTACTTAAAGAAAAGGGAAGCTGTAAAATTTCAAGTCCTGTGACCAATGTACACCAAAGCCCTGCCACAACAGAAGGAGGGATTTTAAACCACACTCATACTCAATCTACTTTGAAGACATAGAAAACCAATTATGAACATGATTTGTATTTTTTCTATAGGAATGAATACACTGAGTCTCAAACTGCTCCATTTTCTGCACTTCATAATTAAATCAGTGACTACCTGCCCCGCCACCACAGTGTCACAGCCATGAAAGAGCAGCCAGTTGGTAGAGGACCCTGACAAGTCAGAGTTAAAATGCTCCTGAAGGGTCCTGGGGACTACCAAAAGAGAATACGCTTCACGTGTATGATGGCAGGTCTGCTATAGAAGCCCTTGTCCCAGAAAGCTACTCCTACTCACAGCTCTACACAAAGAAATGTTTCTTTGGTGTGGTTTTCAACACACCCATACACATTTCACAGTGGTCAACACCAACTCAGACAACGACACACCATGGATTTGCTCAAAACCTCTCAATTTTACTTAGTCCAAAATTGATAATCCCAGGAAAGCAGATCCAGTCCCGGGTCTCCACTTCTGAGGCTTACATCATGCCAAGTTTCTTCTTGTATGTTTATGTGTCTCCCTGGTGTCCCCTTCCTCCCCATGCTTGAGAAGGGAAGAAAGAATAATGCAAACTTTCACACTTGCATACACACACACACACACACACACACACACACACACACACCTGCTGTCATCACCATGGTAGACTTTCTTCCCTGTAAAAGATAAGCTGATAATTACAAAAAACTAAAAATATCTACAAACATGTAAAAGTACTTATAAATTCTTAGTGAAGATGCTTGAAGAAAAGGACATGTTTGCATCTGTCTCTTCCTTCTTGAAATCTCCAGAAGGTCATATTTATTTTTTCCATGTTTTAAAAGTTTGTAAACCTTAAAAGGTCCAACCTAAAGATTTATGATCATACTGGAAAACATCAAGACTCTCTGAGTAAGATTTCAAACTGAATAAAAGGAAAACAAATGAAAGCCTTCAGTATCCTAGAAGATGGGCTTATGTTGCCTCAACCAGTTTTGAGTAGCATTTTCTAAGACAGCCCAATAAACTCGTATCAAATTAAGTAAAAGATATTTATAATCAGGTGCTCCCCAAGAGAAGGATGAAGATTCAGTTCCATGGCCAACAGTCAGATCCTAATTTGCAGGGTTTTGATCAGTGTATTATTTCCAAACACTTGAGTGTTAATGAAAAGCAGGTTCCAATATCTGAGGGAAGTTTTTAATATAAAAGAAAGAAGTAAAAGCAAATTAACAGACACATGCAAGACAGTTTATAAGAATATTTCCCTGTTATTAACTTTTTTTTTCATTTTCATGATGCCCTAAGAGAGAAGAGATACCACAGCCCCGAGACAAAGAGGACTCTAGGAAAATAATACGGGAAGAGAAGAAAATGTGTTGAAATTAAGAAGAGGACAGCAGACGTGAAAAGTTCAGTTCAGGGAGTGCAAGACGAAGTGGGTGGCATGTGCAGATGCTGGAGGAAGGTGATGCATGCCTGCAAAGTAGAGAATAAAAGTAGAGAACAGAGAAGCCCAGCATCCAAACAAGAGTCTGAGAAAGACAAGGGAGGCGAAGGAAGAACAAAGAATCCAGAACAATCAACCAGGATATCAGGCAAGAACACTCATAGACTTAGAAGTTTGGAATGTCTAGTTTGAGAAGCCTCCCTAGATGTCATCAGAAGCAAAGAAAGTATCATACCAATATTTCATTACATTTAAATTTAAATTATAAATTATAAATTTCAAAGCAAAATTTAAAAAGCCAGAGAGAGTACTGGCCAGATGGCTCAGAGGATTAAAGTGCCTGCTTAGGCAGATGCAGGGGCTGGGGTTCGATCCCAGGCCTGCCCTGCTGGCCCTGCCCCCTAGGGAGCACTGAGAGGGCGAATGAGACT